GACGGCTTAGCAGGTAACAGCACTTGATGTAAGCTTGAATCCCCAGCAACCACGCAAAAAGTCAGGCACAGCTGTGTGTGCCTGTAACCTTAACATTGAGGGGAGGAGATAAAACAGGTAGACAGATAGCAAGGGCTCAACGAGCAGCCAGCTTCACCCAAAACAGAGAGCCTCTGGGTCAGTGAAACTGGGTGTGCAGTGGAGAGTGAAAAAAGACATCCAGCCTTCCCTAGCTTCCACAGGTTATGTGCACCCACACACGCACACGTACATGCACACCTCAATTTCCCAAAGAACGTTCCTTCATGTGTCGCTAAACTATGGCAATTTGTTCTATCCTACAACATGAAGGATGGTGATGTTTCTCCTGTCTGGGTAATGGCTGAACACCCAGTTCCAGCCAGTCTCTCCCATCATCCTTGAATCATTTTACCAAAGCAACATTTTACATTACCTCAAATGCCACAGCTTTCAAATCTCCCCTCCTTCTATCATTCTCTAGGGGGAAAGTCACTAAATGGCCTCATTGCTGCTGCGGGAGGTCAGTCCTCCCATTCCTCTGCCTAGGACACCTGTCATCAACACATGGAGAGCTAGCATCTCAGCACACAGCAGCAGTCCCGCCCAGCTCAGTGGCCCAGACATGCCCGCTGCCAGCTTTCTAGTGGTGCTGGCTCTACAGCATCATAGACAGAAGTGGAACGGCAGCCTCAAAGAACACACACAACCATTCGAGAGACACAAAACGTGCAAAATCATTTGAGAAAAAAAAAAAAAAACCTGTCAGCAACTACCACCCAATAACAAGTCCCTGGAACGTGTGCCAGGGCATTACTTCAATACAGCTGCACCGCCTGGCTCCATAGCTGCAGAGACACTGCAGCCTAAAACTTCTAGCTGCTGGACAGTAAAAAGAAACTGTTTGATTTATGAAGTGGGTCAACCAAAAGCAGTAATGTAAAAGGAAAGAGGTCAGCCCGGGGTCTGCTTCCCCCTCTCCCAGCTGCTTTTGCTCGTGCTTTATCCTCTGTGAGAAGCCAACAGTTCCAAGTCAGAAGACTCTTCTGGAATATAACCAAGTTTGGACACAGGCAAAGATGACTTCATACTAGAGGCCTCAATTTTCTCTAGAATAATACAAACTTTATTTTAGCCATTGCTTATCAGAAGCATCCAGAGCCCTGCTTCATCCCAAGGCAAGGTCTGATTCCAAAGCACTGCAGAAAAGACTCTACCTGTCCTTGTTTTTGAGACAGGTTCTCATGTATTCCAGGCTGCCCTTGAACTTTTGTTTCTTTTTTTTTTTTTTTTTAAGGCAGAGTTTCTCTACTATGTAGACCAGTCTGTCATGTACTCAAAGATCCCACTTTTCTTCTACAGTTAAAAGCATGTGCTGTAACATGTAGCATATTTATTTATATGTATCTGTATATATATGTGTATGCCTCTGTGTGTTTATGTATATGACCTCATGCATACATGGAGCCTGGCACACACATAGAAGTCAGAGGACAACCCACTTTCTTCATCTACCAGGTGGATTCTGAGGATCAAGCTCAGGTTATTATCAGACTTGGTAGTAACTGCATTTACCCCCTGAGCCATGTCCTCTGGCCAGGTCTAGCACTTCTTTATTACTTTTTTGTTTGTTTTGTTTTGTTTTGTTTTGTTTTTCGAGACAGGGTCTCTCTGTGTAGCCCTGGCTGTCCTGGAACTCACTCTGTAGACCAGGCTGGCCTCGAACTCAGAAATCCGCCTGCCTCTGCCTCCCAAGTGCTGGGATTAAAGGCGTGCACCACCACTGCCCAGCCCTACTTTACTACTTTAATTAAGCAAGCATTACACTAACAGCTTCCAATTGTTACAGCAGGAACTTATCTAACAAATATCTGAGTCCCACTACATAACATGCTCTAAGCACTGAGGACACAGAGGGAGGACAGTCAGAATTCTAGCTTACAATATGCTTTTATTTTTGTGGCACTGAAAATCCTGGTGTGTCATCCATGTTAAGCAGACAATTACTACTGAGTTATACCTTAATCCACATTTTAGTCGAGAGTGATAGAAAAAGATCTAATGTCAACCAGTGATAAGAAATATGAAAAAAAGAATTTTATGGAAACATAAATCGGGGAGAGTGTTATTTATGAGAGTTCTCCTGGGAAGCTTCTCTGACTGGTCCTACCATCACTCTATGCTAGGAACTGAGCTAGATACACAATGTGCATCATTTCAGTTAGCTTCAGTAACTATGTCTAATGCTATTGCTATTTCCATATTACATGCAAGAAAATGGAGCTCAGAGAAGTTAGACTGTAGAGTGTGAAAAGGGGAAGTAAGGATAAAGGACCAAGGTCTGTATCTTACAGGAGATAAGGAAGCTAGGACTTCAATTCAGGAAAGCAACTCCAGACTCATGTTCCTCCCCCACTACACTAGGCTGCCATAATGACGGACAAACAGCCCAAGAAGCCAAGGGTGGTATGGTAACAAAGTAGCAGGTCCCTCTGGCCTTCTTACTAAGACAGGTCCCTCTGGCCTTCTTACTAAGAGACGAGCGAGCGCAACTCAGTCTTCCTCTAATAGCAGATATTACTCTCGCTGTCAGCTGAAAACCAAGCCTTATCTTGAAACAAGAGGAGAAAGACATCTGAGGCTCATAGAGGCTAGCTACGCAACCCGAAGGCTGCTCCTCTCTCACCCTAACCCAACCACCACCATCACACTTGCACGCTTGGTTAGTTCTCCCAGTGGTTCCATTCCTATCTAGAAAACAGGAGCAGAACAAGGGGGACTGGGCCAGCCGCCTGACAAAGCCACAAGCAGTTCTCACAGGTGTGTTGGACCAGACTGGCAACTGAGAGAGAAGCCAGCAAGGAGAGAACAGCCTTTCCAGAACCATTTCAAGAAAGGACAGCTCTTCCTCAGGTCCTTAAGTACCAGAGTGAGAGACATGGGTTGTTTTCTTCAGAGGCAGAAGGCAGGACAAACAGAAGTACAAGGAACACGTCACTTGGTTCTCCTGAAGGGAAGGAGAGGAAACCCAGGAGGAGTAAACATGGAAAGAGGCTAACAGACTTCACAGAGGGAAGTCCAGAAGGGAAATACCATGTCCAAGGTCAAATAGTAATTGCAGAATTGCTGGAAATCCCAAGTTGGGGGCCCAGATGAAGTTAACAGAGAAACCAAAAGAAAAGAGAAGCAGAGGACCAGAGGTAAAAATCAAAGGTCATGGTCTGCACCTACCCACTGAGTAACTTTCTTTATGGTCACTAGAGCCAGAGTTAATCAACAACTTCAATTTGCAAATACATTCCAAACCCAAGAACATTAAAACTTTACTCAAAACCTGGAATTCCATCTTACATCCCAATGCATGTGAATATCCCAGTTTAAACACTGACTAAGCAGATCTGCTAAAGCTTTTCCTGTCAAAGCACCCGAGAACGAGAGAGAGAGAGAGAGAGAGAGAGAGAGAGAGAGAAAGAGAGAAAGAGAGAAAGAAAGAGAAAGAGATCGGGAGATCCAATACTCAGTCTTGTTCTCCAGAAACTTATCTCCAGCAAGTCAGGTCTCATAACCCAACGTTGCACCAGACAAATTATGACCTGAATGGCAAGGGAGGGAAAAAAAAAAAAAAAAACTGTGTCACCTAGAGAAACCCAATTAACAACATGACTCTGCTCTCTTCAATTCTCTCTCCCCTCCAGTCATATCCGGGGCACTTGTGGGGTGGCTGCCTTTTCCCTGGCTAATTTAAAAGCCAGAAGACAATCTGTACAGAGAACTTCTCAGAAGGTAAGCATGAGGTGGGAAATTCTGCTCTATTTTACACAAACGCCGGTCGGTCGGGAAAGCTCGCAGGGCATGGAATCAAAACACCACCTGGGCCGGGCGGTGGTGGCGCACGCCTTTAATCCCAGCACTTGGGAGGCAGAGGCAGGCGGATTTCTGAGTTCGAGGCCAGCCTGGTCTACAAAGTGAGTTCCAGGACAGCCAGGGCGACACAGAGAAACACTGTCTCGAAAAAACAAAAAAAACCAAACAAACAAAAAAAAAAAAACCCAAAACACCACCTGGGTGACAGTCTGGAATGGTTCACCTTGAAATTTCTATGTTGCCCTTAAGACAAAGCTGCCCGCTAAAGAGAAACTTACAAATGCTGCTGAATTGAAAATTCCGGAAGAAGAGAGAGAGTTAAGTGCCCCACGTGGAACAATAAATGGGGTATTTGAAAGCATTCCTAACACAGTTGTTTCCTCTTAACCGCTTCCCTAATGAGCCCCTCCCTCCAACTCTCCACTCCCACTAATTTCCCCCAAGCCCTAGCTTCTGACCACAGGCAGCATGTATTTTGTGTGTGTGTGTACATATATGTAAACATCGTCTTCCGGCCCGAGTTTCCGAGGAAATCCAGGCTTCCCTTCCTCCCACTGTGCACTTGTCTGTCCTCCCAGCCCCACACGGCTGCAGAGTTAGTAATGTAATATTCAGGGACCCCGAGACCGGAAATGCCTAGGTCTGAAAAGCTGCACTTGAAACACGAGAAAAGGGATAGAGAAAGTGAACGTGGGATGTAGATGTAGGAGGTGTGTGGGGTGGAGTGAGGAGGTGAAATGTCGCCCAACTTGCAATTCAGGGGTAGGCGAGGAAGAAAACGAGGGATGAGGGGGAGGCAGTTGCAAAGTCAAAATTCCAGGAGCCAGAGGAGGAGGTGGAGGAAGCAGACAGGAGGACAGGGGGCTGGGGGGCACAGGAAAACCTCTGCAGGTGAGGCAGGGCTGTGTTTAGGGACACCAGAGGTGACCCTCAAACGCCTATAAGGGAGGGGACTCGGATCCCAGCAGCAAGGAAGGGGTGGGACGCAAGTGTGGGGGAGGGCAGCACAGGGTGGGGAACGAATTGGCTCCCAGAATCTCCAGAGGGCGAAAGCCCGAGCGGCGCGAGCTCCGGTTAGGGACAGGGGTCGCGGGGGCGAGGCTGGGGGCGGTGCTCACCCGCAGGGCGGACAGGTCGATGTCGTCCAGGCTGCGGGCGGGGGCTGGGTCGCCCATGGCCGCCGCGGGGCCACTCACACTCCGGCTCGCTCACTCCACTGCCGCCGTCGCCGCTTCTCCCCCATCGGGGAACCCGAGGGGCGGGCTCCACCGCGCCTGCCCCGAAGGCCGGGGAGGGGGAGGGCCAGCGGGAGGACCGACCCAGCGGCTGACAGGCGCTCTCACCCGCGCGCCTGCAACCCGAGCCGCCGGCTGCCTTGCGCACGCGCGGAGCGGCCCGTGACGCGAACGCGCCGGGCGCCCCCTCCCGTGGGGAGCCGACACCTGCGCGCAGGCGCAGGAGAACGGGAGGCGGGCGCGCACGGACCGAGCCTGGCTAAAGCCAGGCGTGGAGGGAGCGTGCCCACCCGCTGGTGCGCGTGCGCACACACTTTCCCTTCCTTTCCCCTTTTTATTATTGTTGCCTCTTCTCTTCTAGTTCCTTCGTTGATCTTTATATGACTTTCTTCTTTCCCTTTCCCTCTTTCGTGTGCCCAGCTGCCAATCAAACCACCCACCTCTCTATTTGCGGGGGAAGGGAGGCGGGACCCAACCCCCTCTATTACTAGGGGGGTTGTTATGGTAACTCCCCACGCGAGGGCTGCTGGCCTCTAGATAGGATGCGCTGTCCACCCACCCAATTGCCATGGTAACAGTGGAGCCGCTGAAGGAGGGGCCTCTCCGTGAGAACTTGGCTTGAGAAACCACGTGGGAGGGAAGGACGGGATACTGTCTGCCCTTTACTCCCTTTTCAGGCTGGAGTGGGGATGTTGGGAGCAGATAGGCACTCCTACTGCACACGTCTGTATCTGCTTCTCTTAGCACAGTGTTCTGCAGGAAAGAACTATCGCTGGAGTTGCTACTGGCAAAGCAGAAGAGGAAGAAACTGTATCCAATCCCTTCGAATTTTGTTCCTTCTCCTTAGATCTACTCATGTTGACACAGCACCTCCAGCCGGTTAGTCTCACTAGAGGATAAGTGATGCTTTGTAACAATAGACAAACATGACTATTGTTTGTGTGACCTTGAACAAATGAATTTGCTTCTGGGCTTTTCTTTATGAAGTCGAGGGGAGAAGGTTCTGAGTGTTTCAAGAGCTCTTCCAACACTAATATTCCCTCTGAAAATTAATATTAACATTGCTTAGGTGAGTTCGAATTCTCTAGAGGCTTCTTGGCACATTTGGATGCACATTCAAACTTGCTCTGGGGACTCTCCTGACTCGTTTACCTTGCCTCTGATATGCAAGTCACAATTCCTATTTGGCCTTCCCACATGGCCTCTCTGCCTGACACCCTCAAATAAATTCTTCATATCCAGAAGTGATTTTTTTCCCCTAAAACTTAAATCTGGCATCATTGTCCTGTTTAAAGCGGTTTTCTAAATCCCACCATTCAGGAAGCTGAGGCAGGAGGATTACATTTTCTATTAGCCTGGGCTATGTAATTACTGGGGAAAAACCTGAAATGAATGAAAACACCGTTTGATGACTCCCACTGCCTTGTGGGTAGTGATATCAAAGACTTTCAAGATTCTGCTTGTTTCTCTGGATATATACATACATACACGCATGCACACACACACACACACACACACACATTCCTTTTCTGGTCTTATGTTTTAATAAACCATATTTAAACTTGCTCCTCAACATCTCTTACCTGTCTTTGCACTTAGGTTTCTTTTCCTTAGAGTACTCTCCAACTTCCAGCTGCGCTGGCTACTTTTATGTCAACTAGACACAAACTAAAGCCATTTGAGAAGAGGAAACCTCAGCTGAGAAAACGCCCTCACCAGGTTGACCTGTGGGTAAGCCTGTGATGAATTCTCTTAACTGGTGATGTGGAAGGTCCACTAGGGGTGGTGCCACCCCTGGGGCATGTGGTCCTGGATTGTGTAAGAAAGCAGGTAGAGCAAGCCAGTGAGCAGCACTCTTGTGGCCTTTGCTTCAGTTCTTGCTTCCAGGTTCCTGCCCTGACTTCCTTCAGTGAGGGAGTGTGACCTGAGAGTTGTAAGCTGAGATAAGCCCTTTTCTCCCCACGTTGCTTTTGGTTATGGTATTTTATTACAAAGTAGACATCCAACTGAGACACCAGCCATGGTCACTCTGGCTGGCCTTTGTTTTGCCCGACCTGTTGGAATCACCTCTCTATGCACATTATTTTACAATATTCTGTTACATGCATTTGTATGTATGCAGGCGTGTTATAGTGCACAAAGGACTACCTCTGTGTGGAGGTCTCCTGGGTGTGGTGGCTCAAACTTCTAATTCCAGTACTCTGGAAGCTGAGACAAGAGGATTCCCAGAAATTACAAGGCCAGACTGGACTACAGAGTGAGATCCAGGCCAGCCTATGCTATGTGAACCCTGGTCTTAAGAAACAAAACTCCAGGTATGTGATGTACCTCTGTAATCCCAGTACTTGGGAGGCAAAGGGAGAGGATCACAGCAAGTTGAGGGCCAGCCTGGTCTACATAGATAATTTCAAGCCAGCCTGTGAGATTCTGTCTAAAATGAATTAAATAATAGACACTTGGCATAAACAAATGAAAAAATATCAACATCTCAGGGATGGGATAAATGGCCACCTTCACCTCACAAGGCTATTGTAACCCCTGGGGTGGGAAGGGGAAGAAGAAAGACTGCATGCAGGAGCTGGTTCTTGTTTGCTTGTTTTGCTACCTTGCTTTTCTCCTCTATGCTATGGTTGGCCTTTCATCAAGACCCTTGGACCAAAGGTGCACTTGTTTACTCCTGCAATCCCTCCCTGTCTTTAGGAGGTTGAGGTAGGAGGCTGAAGGATCATGAATTAGAGGCCAGGCTAAGGTATACAGCAAGACCCTGTCCTAGCTGGGCATGATGCAGAGGCAAGACTACTGTAACTGCAGATTGCTGGTCTACACAGCAAGACCCTGTCTTCAAGCAAACACTGTAAGACTAAGAACTAGAAGGATCTATGTGAAACAGCCCAATCTATCCCCTGGTCCAGCTTTGGGGCAGCTGCAGCCTCCACCTTACAGTTAAAGAAGGAATGGTTCCCCCAGGGAAAGAGATATTTAGTGCTGACAATGAGAGTAATTAATGGGAAGCCAATTAGTACCTGGAACTCCTGTGTGTAGGAGGGGATATTAGTGTTCTGTTGTGTGTGGTCTATGTATGTGCATATCCATCTGTTCAGAGATACACGTGTATGTGTGTGTACATATGCGCGTGCACACACACATGTATACACATGTACACGTGAAGGCTGGCAAACAAGGGAGAAGAACCCTTGTCCTCCTGCTGGGTTGCCTTACCCAGCCTTAATATGAGGAGAGGCACCTAGTCTTATTGCAGCTTGATATGCCACATCTGGTTGATAACCGCAGGAGGCCTGCCCTTTTCTGAAGAGAAACAGAGGAGTGGATGTGGAGGGAGGAGGTGGAGAGGGGGTTACAGTTGGGATGTAATATGTAAGAGAATAAATTAAAAGAAAAGTTAGGGATCTTTTATCATTTTTTTCTTATTTAGAAATGTATGTAGCTCTGGCTACATATCACTATGTAGCCCTGGCTGTCCTGGAACTCATTCTGTAGACCAGGCTGGCCTCGATCTCAGAGATCGGCCTACCTCTGCCTCCTGAGTGCTGGAATTAAAGGTGGGCACCACCACACCTCTTCTTTTTTTTTTTTTTTTTTTTTTTTTGGTTTTTTGAGACAGGGTTTCTCTGTGTAGCCCTGGCTGTCCTGGAACTCACTCTGTAGACCAGGCTAGTCTCGAACTCTCAAACTCAGAAATCTGCCTGCCTCTGCCTCCCAAGTGCTGGAATTAAAGGTGGGCACCACCACTGCCCGGCATGGTACTCTCTTCTTTAAAGACAAAAATAAAACAACAGTTTTAGTTGATTTTTAAAGTTACTGTATTTATTGTGAGCACACACAGGACTGCCACGGCCTGTGTGTGGAGATCAAAGGACTTTCCTTCTGTCCTGTGTTCCCTGGAGATCAAACTGAAGTCATCAGGACTGACAGGAAGCATCTTCCTCTGCCGAACCATCTCACTGGCCCTAGAAGTCACTTCTCAAGAGAACTAGAGGGATGGGAGAGTAACCTAACGCCCTCTGGTCACATGATCACCCACCCCCCACTCCCTTCCATGAAGCCTTCCTAATTCTCCACTCCCCTTATTTTCTTCCTGCTTCTGTGGCTATCTGTGTTCAACATTTTTCTAATTGCAAAATACTTCAGACATATGAAAAGTTATGAACATATGTATCACACACACACAGGTATGCATGCTCTCGTGTACTCACACGGTTGGCCCTGATCTTCAGGAGTTAGGTAAATGAACTTGGAAGCTGCTGAGGAGAAGCACAGAGACAGATGGAGCTGTAGCACAAATCTATATCTGAGCACGTAGGAGGCAGAGACAGGCATATCTCTCTGAGTCGGAGGGTAGCCTGGTCTACAGAGTGAGTTCCAAGACAGCCAGGGCTACACAGAGAAACTCTGTCTTGGAAACCAATCCCCACACACACAAGGAAAGAAAGGAAGGAAGGAGGGAGGAGAGAGAGAAAGAGCGTGTACATGTGCATGAGAGAGACAGAGAGAGAGAAAGAGATTGAGAGAGAGTATAAGCATAGATATGCAGGCAGAGGAAAGAAGTTAGAGGAGGCATGGGCCTTTTCTACACTTTTATTTATGAAATGCTTGGTGAACTGGTACAAAGTTAGTGTCTGTCGGCAGGCTGGCAGAGGCAGTTATGGTGTCTTCCTCACCACCGTTGGTGGAGACTGCAGTCAGAGTGGCTCCAAACTCCCCTCCCTTTGCACCAACGGGCTGGGAGAAGCCCTGGGACATGTGGGAGGTGCAAGGGCAGGAGGAAGAGTGAGATGAAGAAGACCCAGGACAGGAGTCCCTTTTCCTGGAGGAAAAGGTTTGACCTCAGGCCTCCTCGTAGGACTAGGGTTCGATGGCATAGTGGTTTGAACATGGTGGCAGGAAGGCAAACCTCTCTCCTGCTTCCCCAGGCCAGGCCTGGGAATGCTCCCTTTGGCTACTTCTCAAGTAAAGGTCCTCTGTGATTCTCTAGGACTCTTCAGAGATGTCCTCTCCAAGGATCAAAGGGCATTGCCCTCAGAACTCAGGGTTTGGGGCAAGGATCCAGGCACGATGGGGCCCAACGGCTAGCAACTCCCGCTGAGCTGAAGCCTAAGCTATGTCCACACATCTAAAGGTATCATGCCCTCTTTGCTCCCCA